TTCGGCTCTTTTTGGCATCTCGAGATTCTGAAGAAACACAATTTGCAGAGCATTGAAGTTGACAAATGACTTGAGTTGACAACAACGTTACTTGTTGGCAAATCAGCGTGCAACCATCAAGGTTGAAGTCGGTGGTTAGGAAATGAGAGATTGTTTAGCAGGAACGTATATATATATATATATTTGTGTTTGGTTGTGTTCGCCAAGGTGCGATGAGCACATTGTAGTATGATGGAGAGGGGTCTGAGGTGTCAGCAGCGCATCACGAGACTATTATTTTTGGTCAACCGTGTTACACGTGTGCGGTCATCAGAAACACATGTTACTGTTTCATTTTAGAAACAGTGGAGATCCGAATGGCTGCGCACAAGGGTGTTGAACTTAGCATCAAGACAAAAGGACGGGGTGTTCTTGAATTTTCCCCTTACCGTTACTGTTCCGTTCGTGTTCCCTTTTTTTTGTTGATTCCTTTCTTTCAAGAACGATTTTGCGAACAGGATCCCTGCATCCTTTTCTAACGATTCCATCACTTTGCAGGTCCCAGACCCGTGCCGCCTCCGCCTCCGGTGGTATCGGACGCTTTTTGGGATCCGATACCGCCACCGGAGGCGCATTAGAATGAGACAGCTCGCCTGTTGATGGCATTCAGACAACGGAGTGCAACCAATTCTTTTTTCCATTGCAAGAATGAAATTCATGCAGTGTTCAGTACTTCAGGCAATGTGGAAAGTAACCATGAAACATGCGACGTGCCCTGCGACGTGCCTTGGTGTGAAGGTGGGTGAAGAACCACGCGCCCTCAGTGGCTATGCGTTGCTTTCGGCATCGAGGTGCCAAACACTGATTTGAACATTCCAAACCGGAGTTGGACGCACTGAAAGGAGGACCCAACAGCCTGATAGATTGGAAGTGGACAATCAACAGCTTTAGCCAGAGGTGCTTTTCCTCAGCTGGAGGTGCGGCTTAGGTCTGCATGCTGCCATACTTCATGAAACAAGTACAAAACATAAAAGCATGTGAAGGTGCAGCGATTAGGGATGGAAGGGCACAGATTTGCACACAATCAATGCCCAAGCCGAGTTGAAAGGTAGTTGAACTCGAAAAAGGAACACATGGGTTCAAATGACTTTTGTTATTTTTGGATTTGGAACTCGCTTGACATGGTCAAACCGAGTCAAACCTTGCACAGGGCCAGGGCTTCCGCCAGCTCCTTTGTGCCTTGATGCTGGATGTCGAAACCCCTTCAGGCCAAACACAATTCGGATCAATGCGGAGTAATTTTTGATGAGACTCCATTAATTAGGGTTAAGTTTAGTTGGTGCCAATGATGTGCATTGAGGATCCTGTGGGAGAGGACCAGGGCACTTCGTGTCGACTCGTGCCTGTTTCCTTTGTAGGCATCAAACAAGCTGCAGCCTTCTTCCAAGACCCACTCCTTCTGAAGGGGCTGGACCTGGATTCAGCTCCATGGTACAAAAACGAAACACGTGGCAAAGGATGTCTGTCTGATGACGTTCGGCAGAGTGACTGTCGAGAAAGTATGTATGTTGTTCTGTGGGCTCCAGGGGCTCCGCTCAGAGCTCCATCACCAGTGCTGCCACATCCACTCCGAGCCAAGGCTTGCGTGCTTCATTGCCTCCCTCGCCGTGCAGAGCTCATCATTTGGAATCCCAGCACCGTGAGGTTTGTCAAGGAGGATGATTAGTTCGCGCACAGAGCCAGGGTTCGATGCACATGTAGACGTCACAACTTCAGAAAAGAATTGTATAATTATTGATGGTTGTGCAATAGCAGTGCTCAAGTGTGCTGGAAAAATCCAACTACAGCAGTCACAAGCAGCCTCTCTTTCCGGGACTTTTTGGCGAATCTCGAAGAAATCTCAAAGGACCTCAAAGCATTGGAATTTGGATGATATTATTGAAGCAATTTTTGTCCTCAGTCTCTGGCAAAGCTAAGTGGCAGCAGTGAACCCCTTTGTGGACTAACCAGAACTTTTGGGAATTCATGTCACCACCTCTTACTACTTTTTGGGAGATCGCTTTTGGACAATACTCCCTGCGAGCTATGTCAGACTTTCGTGTCCTTCCGCACTATTCTGACCCCTTCGCCAGCGTGGCCACCGACGTGGATTGGTCTTTGCGACCGTTGTCTGTCACAGTTCCTTCTAAGGCCACGGAACCCATGTGTGCGGAAGTGTTGGGCGCAGACACGAGTCGGACAGCACCAATAACGGTGTGGCACTGGTGAGATTAGTTAGTTATTTTCTTATTTTTTATTGGCAAGACAGGGTAGACCATGTTATGGTTGTGGCCAAGCTCAGCTGCATTTCCCCGAGAACCGGTTGAGCGAGGGTCCGAAATCATTAGAAAGCAGAATGAGACCAATCATTTCCCAGTTCCAAACCATTTGTTTGCTTATTGTTTTGCTGAACTCAATACCTCGAAGGTTTGCCGTATTCTTGGAGTGTGATAAATCAATCCATAGACAAAAGCACTTAGAGTCAAATGGAGTCGAATGGATCACATTCTGCGTAACTTGTCATGTGTGCGTTTTGCACCGGGAACTGGGTGCTTTTGTTTTCGGTTTTGCTGGTGAAGGGATGCATTTGGTGACTACCCCCTCAACCAAAGGGCACGAGGAGGTCTCCAAGGGAGGGAGGCGGACAAGGGTGGGAAGGGCTGCCAAACTCCATGGGTCTACAGCACATGATCTTTGATACATCGGCAACAGCTCAGGGAATGCGTATGGGAGTGGCCACTCAAGTGCTAAACCCCTCAGATGCCAACTTGTTTGCCGACTTGCCTTGTATAGGTAGTAACTATGGAATAATAAGAGCTTTGTGAATTTAGTCAAACTTGCAGATATCCTTCCAATGAGTCAAAACCTGAATCATCATACATCACTGGCGTTTTGAGATGACACACAGTTGGGCCACCAATCGAGAAAAGAGCGCCCGCTTTGAAGCCACAAAGCCATATGGCCCATATATATATATATATATATGTAATATATTGTTTGGTTTAATGCCAATCTATTTCCTTGTGCTAGCAGCCCGAAGCTTGTTCTATCAAGTTCTCAATCAAGTCGAACAGCAACCACTCATGCCATCTCATACCCACCAGATTCTCCCACCTCCAAGCATACCCAAATGGCAGGCTAATGCAAAGACTCAAGCTGAAATTCTTCTCCCCCCTCACCATTTATTAAAGAGCCACTACAGCTGAAACATAGGACGGATGCCCATTGAGCTGTTTTGATCTCAAGTCGCTTTTAAGCGCGAAATGCTGCGAGGAGTTCAATGAGGTGACATCAAAGTACGCCCTGCTCTTCCAGGAGATTGAGCAAAAGTTGCTCCTGAATGATCTTCCAAAGGTAAACCAATGATGTCGAACAAGTTGTTGCATTATTTCTTTTGCAAAGCTATGGAGTTACTGTACAGTAAATGATGCAACTGCGTGGATCCAAGGTTGCTTCACATGGATCATCGGATCCACTCGCTGGTCCTTGCAAGCGATCAGCAGTGGAGTCACCACGAGGTGCGGCACCAGCGCCTGGAAGGCCGTTTGGAGGCACTGGAGGGGCTTCGACTCCATGGCCGTGTCGCCCAGTCGGGAAGTCCTGAGAGCTTTCGACATTCGGCCGTCCACGGGAAGGACATTCCGAAGTTCCGACATGCATTTGAGAGTTTCTGAGTTTCAAAGGCGAGAAATTGATGAACAAAAAAGTGAGCACGCTGTGTGTTGTGCCTGTCAGTGTGCCTGTCAGTGTGCCTGTCAGTGTGCCTGTCATGTTTTTGTCCTTGAGGAGATGAACGGCGAAGCGAAGCAACTCGTGGAGCCTGGAAGGGGCGCCGTTGGCGACGTGAGGACGTCGCGAGGACGTCCAGCGAGGACATCCAGCGAGGTGTCCACGTCATCCAAAGAGACGTTGAGCTTCAACGGAGTCTTCTCCAACTCCTTGAACGACTGCCGAAGTTCGGTTTCACAGATCTTGGTTCGCTTGGCTGGCGTTGAAAGTCAGCTTCAAGAACTCAAGAAAATCCTTGGTGAAAGCAAGTCACAGCAGCAAGAGAGTCTTGATCGACGCTTGTTTGCCTTCAGACCCCATCGAGATTCTTTTGGCAACTGTTACAGTAGTCAGTTCGGTGAAAACGGTTTACTGTATCTCTCTTTAAAATTATATATGCCGTCTTCTTCCAGAAAGGATATCATAAGCTTATTTGCAAAGAGAGCAAAATGGCTGAGCGCATTGATGTCCTGCAGCAAGAAGTCTCTCTAATGTCAGAGACGACGAAGAAAAGGAATTTTCTGGTGGAGGAACACGGGGACGTCCACCTTTCACGCCTTGAGAAGCTTGAACGGCAGCTGGTGGGCTTGTCAAAAGAGTCTACAGACATGCAACTGGAGCAGAAGCATCTTCGGAGGTGCGTTGGACGCTGCGAGCAGATCAAGAACGATATGCCAACGCTGGGGTCTATTGAGGAAGAAGTTCAATCTGCCCACGTGAGGGAGGCTGCACTGTCTGAAAGGCTGGACTATGTTCTAAAATTAGCCAGCTCCAAAACCTCCTTCTCAGACGCCTCCAAGGCTGACATTAGAGCCTTGGTCCAAAGCGAGTTGACAAAGCATGTTGAGCTAGAAGGTCTTCGAGCAGTCACCACCCAGCACACGTTACAGTTGGAGGCCCTCCGCCATGAGATCGGTGGGCAGAGTGCTCGGGGTTCTGAAGATCTCAAGCACCTGCGCCACTCCATCGCCGACACTGATGCAAGCTTGCAGCATGTGCTGGAGAGCAAGGAAACGTTGGAGCGAGCAGCTTTGGCAACTTCCAAGCGCTTAGATGAACTTGATGCTCAGATCACTTGCAACAAAGAGCAACGGGTACAGAGTGAGATTGAACTTTTCGCATCACATCACAAGTTTCAGGCTGCTCTGCAGAAGCAAACGGTTCGGACTCAGAGCCTTGAAGAACGTTTAGTCAGATGTGAATGTTTGCTCAGCCGAACGTCTCCGCTGCTGTGAAGAAAGGGCCTGTGCATTCAATGTCAAGTCAGCTAGTAGATATGACGGGAAGGATATATAGATGTCTTTTCCATCCTCGATCAAGGCCATCGACGGATAATGTGATCATTCTACTTGCCATGAAGCTGCTTTTTGCCTGACATGATGTGACTATGTAGACCTTTGCTATGCACGACAAGACTTGGTCTATGTGAAGAATTGTTGATTCTCTGATACTTATTGATATTGTCACCTCCATCTAAGAATGCACCAAGGCCGGCCATGGGATTTCGAACCTCTCCGCCCTTGGTACCACCGCTGCGAGCTGAGCTTGCAAGCTGAAAGTGAGTTTGGGTGCGAGCCTCTTTTGCCTAGAGTCCTAGAGTTTCAACGCCTTTACACAACACGGTGCCTCTAGTCTACATGGGAGGGAGAGTGGGGAGAGCCCATTGTGAGCCTCCTTTTCCAGATATAAAGAGACGAGTTGTGCCACGAGCATGGGCCCATGCATCAATATCTCATGGATCCCAGCTTTCAGGCCTCCCATCCAAGCATCCTTTGTGACCAAGGCATATTTGGAGTTGGGGGTCGGTTGGGGTCCAGGTTTTTTGGGGCGTGAGATTTGACAGATGCTGCTGGCATCCAGACACATTGTTTAAGTCATAAGATTCAGTGAGATTCAGTATTCTAGGTTTGAGCCGGTTCAAGAATGGCTCAATACAGGGCTTAACAATCTCCAGTAAGTTCAGTTTCTCAGGGAGCCATGATTGTTACGGACGGTGATGCATTACGGTCGCGGTTTGGAGACATTGCATTCCACAAATTGGAGGAATCCAATTGTAAAGACCAAGGCTCAATTTGGGGAGGGGAACCTCTAAAATGTGCGAAGCTGTTCACGAAGCTTGTGACGGAGCTTGCATGCTATCTGTAAATATGAACATTCAAATGTAGTGTCAGTCAATCAACTCACACGGCAATGAAGCTTGAAACGGTGCCTCATTTCACTGCGCTTTGGGCAGTGAAAACTCTTTTTGAACAGGTTTGAACACTCTTTTCCATGAAAAAAGACGGGTTTCAATTGTTCCCAGTTCATCCGACCTCCCTCAGGCTCCACAGCCAGTCCCGATGACCGCTTCCTACGTGGTCAGTATGCCAGCAAGAGTCAGTATGCCGAGCCGAGGTGGTGCACCCATGCACTGCAGCCAGCCTTCGCTTTTCAGGGCACCCCACTCACCCAAGGCCAAGGCATCGCCCCAGGCACCGCCTCAGGCATCCAAGGCACCTGAGCCTCCTAATGAATGGGCATACTTCTCGGATGCAGAGATGGTTGGCTTGGCCAAGCAGATGCTTCGTGGATCCATCTCACCCCATCTTCTCAAGAAGCTAAGCCGTCGGGAGCTGGTGGGTTTGCTCCGAAGATCCTCCACGAGCCAAAGCCCAGCTCGAGGACCTCAATTCGTCTTCTAGCCACTTGTTTTTGGTGCGAAGACGAAGCAACTCCTTAGACACTTTTTCGAAAGATGATTCGGAAACTTCTCAGAAACTCCTCCAAGTTGGCACACTTATATATAGACTTATAGAGGATGAGTATGCAAGTCTTGCAATTTTCTCTGGATTGCTTTGCCAGCTGCTGAGTGAGGAGGGCTTCGCCAGCGACAAAATGCAATGGGTCCTTCCATGAGTGAGGCAGAGTGAATATGAACACATATTTTCCGACATGTTAAAAAAGAATATATACAAGTACATTTCTTTCCACTTTGGACGAATGGAGTTGCCAGAATTTTAAGAAAATAGCCAATGTGGAGGAACATGATCGTTTTCCAAGTTTTTCAAGACCCCCAGGCCAGATTGGAAGATGCTGAGAAGCAATTGGCCTTGGCAAAGGCGGAGGCCCTCGCGTCCTTTTCTCAATTCCACGTGGCCTCACACAGTGGGGGTGTCTCACTGGAGGGGGTGTCACCCACGGTGACACTACCAGACGACGAGCTGGAGCGCTATCTCTTCGAGGAGGCTTTGACGAGCACGGCCACAAGCACGGAAAAGAGTGAGACGAGCACAGAGCAGAGACGTGCACTTTCGCTGGACCGGTGGCCGCTTTCACCCGCGCGACCATGTTCACCGAAGCTTGGCTGTCAAAGTAAACCGAATGTGGCCAGAAGTGACTAATCACATAAGGAAGAACCAAGAGAAGGGAGCAATGCAGCAATTCTGTCAGCATCTTCCGAATGGTTGTTACTATCACGTACATATGATGTGCATGCGGATGGAGTGTATGGATCTATCACCCATTGCCATGTCTCTAACATGTTGAAGATGCTCTCTGGTTCGGTTTAAGTGCTTTCTCTTTGCAATTTTTTCCTTTGTTCGTACTCATATCAAGGTTTATTTACAAGCTAGCCCTGAGTGTCGTGGTACTTGCAATGTCGGGATAAGATGCGTAGCTTGCTAGTCACTAGTTCCATTGCACATACGTATTATGAAGCCTGCTGTGTTGCAGATTGGGAGTTGTGCATCGCAATCTGTGTTTGTTTGAGCTTAGGTCTGACGTGCGGTTGAGTCCTCCTTCACCTTTGCGAATGGACAATTGGACCAATCTCGTTCAGAAAAAGTGGCGTGCTAGGCGAAAGCAAAAGATACACAGATAAAGAAAGGACCAGAAAAGGTTTGAGAAGAACATGGGAAAGCATACTTCAATTTTGATCATGCTTTTGGATCGTGCAATTGACTTTTCATGATTTTCGTCAAGCTGCTGCACATTCACAGCTTCAGAGCCTTGGAATTGTGTATTTTATTGTATGCAGTTTGGGATGAGGGCTGCTTTTTCACGATTGGTTTTAATCTTTTGCTGAAAAGGTTTATAGAATTTAAGCGTTTAACTGCACATTTCGGTCAACCTCTCCATGACTCAAGTCTCTCCACTTTGCAGCCCAGACACTGGCAGACACTAGATATACACTTGTACTATGCAGACAAAAGACCTTGTCCTTGAAATTGCCATGCGAGAATGAAGAGGTGCGCATGACATGCAAGTCGTTGATGAAGAATCAGAGCCTTGCAGTCTTGCCCACTGATCAGACTTGGGTCTTTGACACTTTGCTACTTGAACCCATTCAGGTGACCGGGTCAGGGCACAATGCTGAGGCTGATGCGATGCAGCCCTTGCAAAGTTCTGATTGATGATATACAGATAAGTAAACAGATCAAAGCAGTAAAGAGGAAGAAATGGACACTTTTCTTGCAGACCCTCCCTGGTTGCCAGCCGGTTGCGCAGGTCCAGATGCTTCCGAGTCTTGCCGTTGCGAGGTCTTGCTCAAACCAAAAAGAAGGCGTGTCGTTTCATTAGAGATCGGACCCTTATGGTTGAAGGCAACAAGAAGGGAATTACATATATACTGTAAGTTGAAACAAGCTGTTGGGACGGTGTTTTATGTCCTCAAGAAGCCAGAGCTTAGCTTCCTTTGACATGCTCTTTGTTATGTGTTTGTTGAGATACAAGACCTCAATTCGATGTTCACCAGCCTTGGTTCCTCAGAGGCCTTTTTTTGACTATTCCATTCGCACGCAGGCGAAGGCCAAACAGCAAAAGAAGCAACGTGCCCCGTGTAGATCTCAGGTACGGAGAAGTTGAATCTGAGCCTAGCCTCTATCGAATGTCTGCTGGCTTTCAGCTTTTTGACTAACAGGAGGACTCTGACATCATGTAGGCATTTGTTCATAAGGACATTCCATACATAGGCTTGAATTGATTAAAGCCCTCAATTTGATCGTAGCTTTCTAGGCACCAACACTAACTGGTAACTAGGGTTTTGCTTTGAGGGCACGGACAGTATTGGCTAAATGTCGAAGTGGTTTGCAAAGCTCGCATGGTGGCATGCCAAGTGTTGAGAGTTTGCTTTGATGTTTTTTTCAACGTTGCATGGAGCAATATGGTCTTTGTTTGAGTATTTCTGCCACAACCTCCGAGTACCCTATCTGACTTCCAGAATTGGCCATGCCATGCTGCGGACAAAGCCTCCTTCTGCTCTTAGCTTTGGGCTATGCCGGCTATGCCTTTTGCCCCAGGCATGGGGCGAGGAAAACAATCGTGATGCAATGGTTTGGGTGGGGTTGCTGGGGACTTGACACATCCGGGCAAATTTGCAGTGTGCGCATTGCGAAAAAGCTCAGCATTATATAGGGTATATGCTTTGCAGACACGCAGAGGTGCTCCACATTGGATCCTTTCTTGCAGGCGCGGAGCGCTACACAAGCCCCCCCTCGCTTGGGTGATCACCTCAGTAAAGCTGAGCAGGTATGTGCAGGAGTTGGTGCAAGTACGCGTTGCGTGTTTGACTTGTCAATGAAGAGAGGAGGATTCTGAACTGACGCAATGCAGCCTTGGCAACGGTAAGGTGCCACCTGCGACAAATGCAGGCGGCACTGCGAGGGTGTGAAGATACCTTGACATTCCTGGATTCATGCATAGCTGCATGAGCTTAAGAAGCTACTAGGGGCTCCTGGCATCGCTAATAGGAGTGTCCTTGCGCAGGGGCTCCTGGCCTTACTACTAGGAGCAAGGATGCTACTAGGAGGATTTTAACTCTATTGACATCTATTGACTCATTATCGCAATCGCCTACTGCATAGGTCTTGTGAGGTTTGGAGTTGGCACTTGTGGCTGCAACATGTGAAGAGGTCGAGAGCAAGATGAAGGCCGGTCTAACTGTTCCCGGGCCAAGGACCGTTTTTTCTCCAAGTGTGATGATTGTTGACAAGAACGTAGGCAAAAACAGGAAAACCATAAGAGACAGATAAACCAAGGTAAGTGGCCCTTTCCTTCGTTTCTTTAGTCTTTTTCCCTGAATCAACATTGAGTCAAGGAAGGATAGAATTGCATGCATTTTGCGAGCCAAGAGTGGAATGTATTTTTTCCCCAACATAGACTGCTTGTATTGTATACGAGTTGTGGGCCAAGGATGGGGGGAAAGACACAAATGGGGTTTGGAATCCCACAGATGCATGGTTGGATGGTAGAAGCTTAAGAGTTTTCGGTTAAAACCTTTCTGCAGGATCGAGGACCCTCAGTGCGACTGCGTCATCTCACATGCGAAGTAGAGGAACTGGCTGCCAGGCTGCTACCCACCGAGGACTGCAGTTGCTGCTGAGCTTTGCAACGAAGAGTGACGGGACGGAAGTATGAGATATTAAGAATACTATGATGGGTGTGTTTTTTCCTGGAGAAGTGGTTAACATGTTTATTGGCTCAAAAGCTTTTACATCGAAATGAGACGTTTACACCTTCTGCTGTTTGAGTCAGGAGCAGCTGAAGCACCGAGACGAGACGGTGCAAGAACTAGAACATCATTTGCAGGTGCTTGAACATCTCCAACCTAGTAGCTTCATGCTACTAGTAGTATGCTCAATCTTTTGCAACGGATAGCGTTCCTAGACTTTACTTGGCCGTAGATGAGTTGGCCGAGATGGAGATTTTGGACGAAACAGAGAAGATTAAGTTGTTTGTGGACTGAAGCAGATTTTTGGTATGTGCAGGTACAGCCAAAACAGCCAAAATGGAGGACTGGTAGACTAGCTCGGTGACAACATGCTCTAATTCTCGCCAGTTTCGGCCCTTTCCTCTTCTTTACTTTTGTGGGTTCGTTTGGCTGCCTGGATGTCATTAATTAATTTGGTCGTTTCCAGGCAGCCATTCCAGGCTGCAATCTGGTACCCTTTGGATCTGCTGCGACAGGCGAGGGTGCAGCATGCCCTTGCTCCTAGTAGCTTCTTGTTCCTAGTATATAGTAAGCTAAGGCCAGGAGCCCCTAGTAGCCTCTTTGCTCCTAGTAGCGATGCCAGGAGCCTAGTAGCTTCTTGTTACTAGTAGTTATCACACACTTCTACCCCCCAACTGAACATTCTCATTTTGTTATGTTGCATCTTTTTCTATGTCAGCGACTTGCGAGGTCTTTGGGTCCCTGGCCGGGACGTGGATCTCAGCTTGAAGGCTTGTTTGCGTCGCAGCGATCTCCGGGCTTGCGGGGTTTACGTGTGCCCTGATTATCCAGGCAACTGGTTGGACTATTCGGTATGGAGACCAGACCATGCAAGGGGAGTTTGATGCATTTTGAGACAGATTTGTGGATAGGCGTAGACGCATTGCAGGTTGCAGGTGTGCGTGGACGCATCGAAACCAAGAGTGTCCTGCATCGAGTGGCCCTTACAATCAATAGGTGCCTCGTTTGCAACCATTTCTTACTACAGCGAAGGGTCTTCAACTAAGCTTCTCCCCCGAAGAAGTAAGAACATTACAAACGGTTCCATATGTTCCATCCCAGTCCACAGAGATTCGGCAAGACTCCATCTCAGCTCCGACAAGCAAACTTCTGATGACGATTGTTTCCCCAGTGCTGCCACCTCTACAATACGGGAGCTTGATTTGCAATTGAATCTAGTGAAGGGTCGAACGCAAGGCAGCAGTCAAAGCTTTCTTATTGCACATTTCACATTTACACTGGAAAATCCAGGAAGAAACCAAGGTTGATCGGGCTTACTGAATTTTCTCTGGACTGATATTCACTGGGAGACCAAAAAGCGGTACTTCAATATAGCAGTGTTTGTGCAGACTGTTGAGGTTAGGAAGAGTTGCCTCAAGCACCTACCGACAAATAGCGTGTGCAAGTCACTTGAGACATTTGCTTTTTTGGCTCTACTCAGGTTCTCAGGGGAGAAGCCAGAAAACCGTTTGTCAGCGAAGATGCCCTTGCTGAGATGGATTCCGCCGACAAGTTGGGAAAAGGCTTTCATTGTGGGAATTGCATGGATTTGCATAGGTCAGCCTGACAAGCCACAGGAAACAACACTTGGAGAGGAGTGTTCTATAGAGGTTTGGTCTGCATGTGATATCCAAGGTATTTCACACAGTGTTTGTACATACATGCATGCATTGCATACAAACAGATAAACACATACATCTATTCTACTCATGCACATGATGCCGCAGTATGTTTAGGGAAAAATGCGTGCAAAAACTTCGTGAACAAATGAAACAATGCGTTTGCATTTTGGGCACGTTATTTGTCCAAAACCCAAGGACAACGCGCCTTGGCAGCTAGACTTGGAGCTGTAGCAAAGGAGGCTGAACTAGAATCTGAACGCGCTTCGCAACGGCAAAAGTGAAGGCAAACACTGGGGAACCAGCCAAGCCATTTCACGAGAGAGAACGTCAAGGCAAAATCGTGTCGCTGAACCAGGTCAATGCGATCTGTCGTGCGTGATGAAGGCCCGCATTAGACAAGTGTTGCGAAGTACTCGTATGTAAAGCCCGCACCTTTTTCAGCATACTTAGTCGTTGGCCGGGGTTGTTCATCCCAGGAGTTTTCAACGCCTTCTACATACACCTCTTCCTACACGTGTGCCAATTTTGAGTACGTTGCTATCCATAAAGGAGGCCATTGCAAGGGGGGGCGCATGTACCGGTAGTCAAACAACTAAACCGTATTATGTACACTGAGTTTGTGTGCTTGTATATATTTCGCCATCACTTTTGCAATTCGATGAACAAGTGCAACGGTCTACACACACATAGAATCTTCCCGGTGTGCTTGTCAAAATGGACAATAAATCCTTCAATTTGGGTAGAAGGGCTCACAACCATGTTGCAGTCGCACACCTGCCGCGGAACAGATCTCAGACTTAACTGAGGTAGTTTGGACTGTTTTGAATTTCTGTTTCCGTTGTCCGAAGGTGAGCTTTCTTCACTAAATGATTGCTGCGCAGCTTTTGTTGCAGGGGGTTTGAGATGTGACAGGATGGAACGGGATGCGACCCTTCCTTTGATATCACTGTCAACAATGATTTGGCCGTTGAGAACTCTAGGCACGGCGCTGCACAAGTCGAGGGTTCCAGTTTGCACATTTCACATTATATAGGTTTTGTAGATTCAAAATTGTGTTTATTTTTTTTTCCCCAGTCTCTGAGTTGCCAGGCTCGTGAGTGCTTACTTGGCCGTAGAGCCGCTTCTGAAGCCGATGTTGCTAGTGATCAAGACTTGGGCATCAGCGAGACACATCAATGATCGAAGCGAAGGACATTGGGATTTGCGGACTTGTTTGTGAAATTCGACAAAACTATGGGTGACGGTGAAGTTTGGCCAAGCTCGTTTGCAGCTGTAGGGGTATCCCTGGCACTGGTGTCCATCCTGCCAGTGTAAGGTTGGTGGAGTTTTTTTGTCCATTTTGTAATTGGTGTTGTTTCATCCTTTGCAGGAACTCTTTCATCCTTTGCCTTGACGCTCATGACAATCCATTTGTTCCAGAGGACTTGCAGATTAAGGGATCGTGCAAAAAACAGATCCTTAGAATTAATGAGGTCTTGTTTAAATTCATGCAAACATGAATCAGGCCGCAGATGCATCTTGTTTGCTGACAATGAAGGAAACCAAAATCTTAGCAAAACAGGAGTCTTCGCGTGTACCTGGTTGTGTTTGTTTCGTGGGTTCTATCTTCGTGATCATGCCTGTCGCGGCAAAAATAACGGGGTGCCTCGCATTATTTTTTGGTTGGTGTGTTTGAGGAAGCCCTGCGCTGTGCCTCAGCGTACGATTGCTTCAATAGATGTCAGAGTTTGGCTTCTTTGGAACAGTTCCAATTATTTCTGCTCGACTCCACATGCACTTGAAGCTCTATGGCAGTCATGTGAAAGGGAATACATAAGATTAAGATGGATTCATGGGAGTTTTGAGTACTGGTGCAGCAGAGACAAGTGTGCCAAGTGGGTACTACTCGTGCTCAACCTCATTGATATAAATGACATACATTGCATTTTCTGCGACTTTGAGGAGACATGGTTTGCCATCCTTGCAAGATTTGGCAATCCTGCATGGGCAGCCTCTGCATGAGGTGCAGGAAGTGGACTGCCGGTTCTGTACGGATGAGAGGAGCGGTTAGGGATTTTGTGGTGATCGATATAGTCACTGAGTAGGTTTGAAGGCTATTAGACTCACAAAAGATAATAACATTACTTTAGTATACTTTAATTCTCATGTGACTTGTGATTTCAAATTGACAAGTCAACTCACCTTCCATCGGGCACTCGTCTAACGATTTCCAGCATGATTTTCAAGCAGCTACAGACAGAAATGCGCTCATCATTTCAATGTGCTTTGCTTGATCTGAATTTGCATTGAGCTTGACCCAAGAATACACCATTCACTGTCACCAGAGTAAAGACTTAGCTGACTCAGCCCTTCTTGCAAGCAAAACTCAAAAGTCTAAAGCACATTTTGGTCGTGACTTGTGCCAGGATCATTGAAAAGGAAAAACTGAAGCTGGGGAGTTGTGAGAATGGAAGCCTCGGTGCCAACATCTTGGACTTCTTCAAATTTTTTGGCACCGAGCCGCTCGGACCGTCAAAAACCGCTGAAGAGGAGTTTGTTTCTTCACGAGTGACTCGTGAGAGAGAGAGAGAGAGTTGTGGCCCCGAAAAAGACTGACCCTTTCCAGCCCGTATGTGATGAGGTGGAAATAGAACCCAAACAGGGCAGAAAGAATAAGCCATGCACCCTTTGCGCTGTGACATCCAGTTCTCCGATTCAACTGAGGTACAAAGGTGGAGTGATTGCTGTGCGAAGTGCGGGAAAAGAACCTTCGCGGATGTCTACGAAGTTCCTTTTCATAGACAACCCCTTCGAGCCAGGCAGATTGGGTGCTGGGGCGAACTAAATGACATGCAAGCACTTGCATGAGACGACATGACAGGCAAGGATGTTGCAAACGCCTGGGGCTCGGGCTGAGAAATTTGTGGGTCTTCTGAAGGTTTTGAATGTTTGAAGATACCAAACATGTAGCCTTTGCTGGAAGGCCTCTTTTGGAAACTTGTATCCGCACCTGTGCATATATATATATGTTTCAATTATTTCAATTCCTTGATTCCTTGTGATGTTGCTATGTTGCCACAGAGTGCGATGGATAGCAAGTTAAGTTGTATCATGCTCAGTGTGATTCGGATACATCTTGAATAAGTACCCATGCTGGAGAAGTACTCCGGGATCCACATGCGTTTGGGTTTGGGTTCGACCAAAAGCGTCGACTCCGCGACCTCACTCATCGCCGTCGGACCGTCACGCGTCCAAAAATGTGAGGTCGACATCGGTCAACATCTGCGCCTTCGAGAGGAGTCTTTCGGAGATTATAGGGGGGAGAAGCGATGGACAGATGTGGAGATTCTGCTTGGAAGGGGCTGAGATTTGCTAATGTCCTGCGAGGAGTTTCGAAAGGCATACGTTCACCTGCGCAAAGGCAACGGGATTGAGGAGCTTGAGAAAGCTGTTTGCTTGATAACCCAACCTGGAGAACGGTAGTTCCAGCTTAGCGGCTTAGCGTGTGGTGATTGTAGTCAGTTTTTTTATAAAAAACATATTTTTCGCCTTTAAAAGGAGCTTTGCCACCGGCGAACGGATGAGACAGAGGATTACGCTGCATACTGCGAGGAGCAAAACAAATACAGAGTTTTCCAAGCGTCCAGAAAGCAAGGGAGAATCGGAAAGGTTCGATCCATTGCTTTCGATCTCGACTCTTCAGAGTGGCATGCTGCCGGATTGCTTTTGGCTTTGTGCAAATTTCTGTAAACTGTTTGCGTTTGTAATTCAGCTGGTGAACACGCCAGTTCTGCCGACTGAGGGTGCCGGTGAAGCTGGTTCCAAACATACCGTCGTGCACTGAGAGCGATTCACCGACCACGCCGTTTAGAGTGGTTGAACTCGAAAAACAAGTGGACCCCCAAATGTGATCGAAAACTGTTTCCAATACATTATTGGGGGGATCTACATTTTCTATCGATTTTTGTGGGTCCATATGTGCAGATATTTTTTGTTCACCACGAGGTATAAGGTCCACTTGCACCTTTTTTCATTGGCTGAACACGAAGCGGGAGACTAGGTTTGAGCTGACCAAAGAGACTCGGGAGTTCTTCCAAAACCAAACCAGGTTTAAGGCCTGAGCCTTAGCCCGTGTCAAATCCTTCATGATGACCTTGGCAACGGCGCAAGATTCCTGGCTTTTCAGCCTCCACAATATGCAGTAGTAGTAGAAGTAGAAGTGGAAGTAGAAGTAGAAGTAGTAGTAGTAGTAGTAGTAGTAGTAGTAGTAGTAGTAGTAGTTGTAGTAGTAGTAGTAGTAGGTTGTAGTAGTAGGTTGTAGTAGTAGGTTGTAGTAGTAGGTTGTAGTAGTAGTTGTACTAGTAGTAGTAGTAGTAGTAGTCGTAGTAGTAGTAGTGGTAGTAGTAGTAGTTGTACTAGTAGTAGTAGTAGTAGTAGTAGTAGTAGTAGTAGTAGTAGTAGTGGTAGTGGTAGTAGTAGTAGTGGTAGTAGTGGTAGTAGTGGTAGTAGTGGTAGTAGTGGTAGTAGTGGTAGTAGTCGTAGTGGTAGTAGTAGTAGTAGTGGTACTGGTACTGGTACTGGTACTGGTACTGGTACTGGTACTGGTAGTAGAAGTATAGAGTAGTAGTAGTAGCAGTAGTAGTAGTAGTAGTCGTAGTCGTAGTGGTAGTGGTAGTAGTAGTTGTAGTAGTAGTAGTAGTAGTTGTAGTAGTAGTAGTTGTTGTTGTTGTCGTCGTAGTTGTAGTCGTAGTAGTAGTAGTTGTTGTTGCTGTTGTTGTCTTAGTCGGAGTCGCAGTCGCAGTCGAAGTCGTAGTCGTCGTCGTAGTCCTAGTAGTAGTAGTAGTAGTAGTAGTAGTAGTCGTGGTAGTAGTAGTAGTAGTAGTAATAGTAGACGTAGTAGTTGTAGTAGTAGTAGTAGTAGAAGTAGTAGGAGTAGTAGTAGAAGTTGTAGTAGTAGTAGTAGTAGTAGCAGTAGCAGTAGCAGTAGCAGTAGCAGTAGTAGTAGTAGTGGTGGTGGTGGTGGGTGGTAGTAGTATGTAGTAGCAGTAGTAGCAGTAGTAGCAGTAGCAGTAGCAGTAGCAGTAGCAGTAGCAGTAGCAGTAGCAGTAGTAGTAGTAGTAGTAGTAGTAGTAGTAGTAGTGTATAGAGTAGTAGTGTATAGAGTTGTAGTGTATAGAGTTGTAGTGTATAGAGTTGTAGTGCATAGAGTAGTAGTGTATAGAGTAGTAGTGTATATAGAGTAGTAGTGTATATAGAGTAGTAGTAGTATAGAGTACGTAGTAGTGTATATAGAGTAGTAGTATAGAGTACGTAGTAGTATAGAGTAGTAGTAGTAGCAGTAGTGGTAGTAGTCGTAGTAGTAGTTGTAGTTGTAGTAGTAGTATAGTAGTAGTAGTAGTAGTAGTAGTAGTAGTAGTAGTAGTAGTAGTAGTAGTAGTAGTAGTAGTCGTGGTAGTAGTAGTAGTAATAATAATATAGTAGTAGTAGTAGTAGTAGTAGTAGTAGTAGTAGTAGTAGTAGTAGTAGTAGTAGTAGTAATAGTAGTAGTAGTAGTAGTAGTAGTAGTTGTAGTAGTAGTAGTGGTGGTGGTGGTGGTGGTGGTGGTGGTGGTAGTGGTAGTGGTAGTGGTAGTAGTAGTAGCAGCAGTAGTAGCAGCCAACGTTTGCGATAGCAAATTCGCGATTGCATACCGAAGAGCTGGGAACTCACCATCGGCAAAAACATGGGTTGATCACTCGCCTCTTACTTAAGTCTTGGATTCTATGCTATCGGTGGCCACGGACCGCGCGGACCGCTGTACCACTCATTGTCCAATCGGACAATCAGAGGCGCTCTTGGACCTGGTGTTCTCTCCACGAGAGCCGAAGGCCGGCTGGCTCGGAGCCGAAGGCTTGAGAAAAGAATCTGTTGGATTTGGCCAAACATCAGACGACTTTCTTGTCTGAAGTTCCCGGCATGTCAAGTCGTGGTGCGGCTCTCTTTGGGTGTCAAATTTGACATATTTCCTCGTTTTCCGCAAAGGACAAATGAGCAGAACCGATACTGTAAAACAAATTTGGCCAATACTCTGGGCGATATCGATGTAGACAAACAAATCAACGTTGAGACTGCTCAAACGCACTTTTTGTCACAAGCACTGCTCTTGACACGTCGATACAGGAAAGCGAGGAAGACCAGGCGTGTCTCGGTGTGTGGGGTTTGATGCCGATGCTGCGGCAATCATAACTGGCATTGCTTTGCTTTCGAACTGGAGCCCAACCGGTTTTCATTCTTTCCAAGAACTATTTCTTCCTTGTAAGTGTGAATGATCGCAAGCTATGGGTTAAGAGTAAATGAACCAATCTTGATCGCATGTTATTCACTTGGGTGACTGAATGTCGACCACTATGACTACACCTAACTGTAGTGCCATGCATGTGTGGGCGAATGGCAAAGATCAGCAAGCACCTCCTTCGTTTCACCTCACAGGCCGAGTACGAGGAGACGAAAGCAGAGTTTGATACGCTCTGTGAAAGAGCAAACTTAATTTACAAGGCCACCATGCGTTCGTATCGATTTGAGAAGTTGCTGCTGTTCAGCACGATCGCATGGTGTTGGAAAATCCCCTTCGAAGGGTTTATATAACACTTTGAGACCAGGTAAAGTGTCAAGAGGGCCCAGGACTTTGATTGGCAGGACAAATTCCACATTGATAGGCATCATGTTGCAACCACATTTCAAAAGGGCATTTGTAAGTGCGCCCAAACTTTGCACAACTGGCTCTGCCCAAAACTGTGACCAGCAACACGCCCAGGTGCATGAAGAACGAGCTGAGCAGCGCATGTTGCTTGACTGATGAACACATCACCCCAGAGCAACACCGGAGCGTGAGTCAGAGTTTCACGGTCAGCTTTCTTGATATTGATATAGACGGATGATGGAGGGATTTCAGAAAGAGCTTCATGGTCGTGGTTTCCAAGTTGAAAGTTGCTGAAGACATACTTTTGTCGTTGATGGACTAGAGTACAATGTGGTAGCAAATCTAGAGTGGATCACAAGACCACATGTGTTTGGGAACCCTGTAGCTATGTTGTAGCCGAGGTGGCGCGCGATTCAGCAGTTGCCAGAAGACTTGTACAACGAGGCGCTGCAAAGGGCGACCAGACCGCGCTGCCAGACTTCTAGCCATGCTTCGTGGGTCGAGTAGAAGATGTTTCACCCTCTTCGTAGTCTGTCCGCCATGATGAAGCAATTATATACTGCTTGCATATGCTTGCATACTAATCAAACGATTCCAAGCGATTCAGCTTGCATAGGCTGTGGCTTCAAAGCCTGAGAAAGTTCCAGAGGAGCATCTAGGCCGAATGGGTCTCTGACCCCACGGAGCATCTATGACATACATATTTAATATTTAGTCATATTTAAATATCAACGACACGAAACCAAATGTCAACGAGAGCCACCCGAAGTGAGTTCCTTGTGCCAAGCCGAGGCTCCTTTTTCACAACCGCTATAGCGGGGAGATCTTTCGAATCTTGGCCCTGAGATTTTGCTGGGGAGTCCGAGTCTCGTGACGAGGGACTCTCTCGGAAAAAGCTATGGCAATTCTGGCCCTTTGTTTACTGCCGATGATTTGCCAAGTTGAACGAATCCCAAGCTGTTTGATTTGGTTTCAGGAAGCCTCTCAGAGTTCGAGCAGCGGAAGTTGCAGCAAGCTCAGACACAAGATTTTCCTGAATTGATCACTGTGATCACTCTGAGTTCTTTTTTTGGTGAGATGTCAGGTTCATGTCTTGCACTAGTAGCTTACAGCGAAAAAGTACAATATTCCGGAAGAGTGATCTGGGCGGAAAAATGGAGGGGACAAACGGAAGGGACGATCCCTTTAAAGTTGCCTTATTGACTTATTGAAGGAGCCCTTCCTTTCCCTTCCCTTCCTTCCCCTTCCCTTCCTTCCCCTTCCCCTTCCCTTCCTTCCCCTTCCCCTTCCCCT